TTACATGGGTTGAGTGAATGCGTATTCGCCGTCTCGATCCACCTCTGTCTAGCGACTTGAATGCGATGCGCTTCCTTAGCGCATTATGCCCTTTACATGACCGCATTGAATGCGACAACTGGATTCGATACGACTAAGTCGCATTCACGTAAACGAGACTTATGTGAACATTACTGAATATGGTATAATATACTGTACAATAATAAAAAAATTATCAAATAACATACCTTGCTTCCCTTGTCCTCAAATATTTTCGGAACCACCATCCGGGACTTTTTACTGAGTTCCGTAATCAGAGTCTCTTTTGAATCTGCGATCCAAAAATAGATATCTTTGAGGCATTGACGCAAGGCAAAGACCAAGCACCAATAAGCAGCTGGTCAATCAAAATAAAAGTAATGGCTTATTGGAATTAAAAAAATATGTAGTGCCTAGAGTACCATCCGACGGCACTCTTGCAGAGCGTTCAAGTGTCGTCCAGGTACTCCACTCACACGTTGAAGTGCCGTCCAAAAGTTTAGTGTAAAACGCATTGTCAAAACAAAATTTTCAAAGCGTGGTAAGATGTCTGCCTCAGTACAGGCTTAATTTTTTTTTTTCTGTCGAGCATTTTTTTTATTTTAATTTACGATTAACACTGAAAATAAACGAATGTTGTCGACGAAACTTCGCTGAACAAAAAAATATGTGACTTCCCTTCCGGAGGTGCATGGGGGCCGGCGGGGTGGGGTGGGGGGGTCGGACGGCACTGTAGACTACAGCCTTAAAAGTATGGGCTTATAATATCCACAGAACAGATAGGAACAAAGAAGTTTAGGAGCCAAGTTACATCATAGGCTAAGCCCGAGATTATTCCGATTTGTTACAGCGCTGTAGAGGGGCAATTTCGCCAATGCTCTATGGCGCCTGAAAGTCGGTCGCGGCCTGAACATCGGTTCATAGTTTATAGGTGTTCATTTACACAACTTCCACACAGCCAAGTGCCGGGCTGCCTCCTCGGCAGGGTACAGACAGGGAACATCTCGACCTTACGGTCCGCCAGTTCCAGAATGAAAAGATCATTATTCTCATGGCGCACAGGGCTCTAAATGACCAGGCAACAAAGCAAGACAAAAAAAAATTAGTCGTTAGAAAAGACGATTTCTTACCTCCAAGGAGTACGACGTTTGCATCGTAATATCCCTCTTCTTCTCCATCACTGCCGCACCAATACGCACTAACAACTTTCTGAGGTATGTCTGAAGTACATTTTGGAGCAAAATTCTCTATTAGAGAAACCGGCATTATCGCTCGGTGATTATCTTTGTATTTAACAAGCGCAAACATAGCGAACGGTTGAACTTGCACAAAGAACTTGACCAAAACAAACGCGTAAAGGGGTGTCCAAACAGGACACTACAAAACGCACGACTCCGACAAATCGTGAAAATGGAAGCGGACGCGCCCGCTTCGCGCCCGCTTCAATTTTCACGATCTGTCGGAGTCGTGCGTTTTGTAGTGTCCTGTTTGGACACCCCTTAAGTGCCAGCACGTGCAAAAACCGGGCTATGACTTTGGCTTGGATTGGATATGCAAGTATATAAATTCGGGCGGCGCAAAAAATTATTTCCACGATTAAATACTACCCATTACAAAAAGCATATACTTGGTTCTAAAAGTTAATTATTACAGTAATATTATATCATCGCTCTTAAATGCGCATTTGTTTTTACTTTTTTCGCAAAATTATTGGTTTTGATTTGACCCAGTGTGTTTCAAAATAAAGTTTCGACACTAAAATCAGGAACTCAACGTATCAAATAGAAACTTACCTCGAATACGTCTTTTACTTGTCCAATTTACACATTTAAATTTTAAAACTCAATTCCTATTAGAAAAAAAAAAAAAAAAAGTGCCCCAAATGGATTTGTTATTTTTTTTTTATTTGGTTTGCACGTAAAGTAGAGACTTGCATTTTTAATTTGTAGATGGTAGTAGTAAATAACGTATTTGATGCAACTTTCAACTAGGTACGTTCAGTAGCGGATTTTTTTTACATGCCATTATTGAATACGTCTTTTACTAGACCCATATAAAACATTTACACAACTTACCTCGAATACACATTTTTCGCGTTTACACATGAAGATTTCAATAGACTTCTTCCAACATCGAAGCGTCCCAACGTGTACCACCCAGTGCACTAGCCACTCAGTTTCGGTTTCGATTAAGCAGCATCATTCCTTGTCATCACACCGTGGCCGAATACGCTGCTTGCGTTTTCGATTATCTGACTTTTCACGAATGTACAATACCCTCATCCCCGAGCGATACAAAACGAATACCGGAGCACTTTCTTTGGTTCACGAAACGCCGGATATTGCGCGTGCGTATACAAACGCAGTAAGACGTGGCTTAGCCACCTTACCCCACGATTGCATCTTTGAGCTCAATTTCAATAATCCTGTCTAGTACCAGTTAGAGCACTATATAGCTCCTACGGAGCAGAGTAGCGCAATCCTTTGAACCCCGTGTTTTGCCGACAACATGGCCGACAGAGCGGCTCGGCGCGAGTCACGTGGTACTTAGGGTTCCAGGAGGCGGCCCGCCCTATGGGAGAATACATGGAGATCGATACTACACGGCTGATTAAAAAATGAACGGCGAGTTCACACTTTTCAAAACTAGTCTGTCGTGAAGTTAGTAAAGCACTAAACACTTTATCAAAGTTTTAATAATATCGGATGCGTGTGCAAATTTTGAGAAGGCAATTTCCAAGGCAATGGCGTTTGAAGCAGACGATTTTTGCTCGCAGCGGAGATGGGCTTTTCGGGTTGGCCGGAGCGGGTCACGTGAATGGTGTGACGTCGCCGTGTCGTCTGCTGCATAATGCCGTTCAAGCAATTTTTTAAAAAAAGTCAGGTCCTTGCGGGGCACAAAACTTCGCGCAAATTATTCTAAAATGTTCCATTATTATGTCAAAAACGATTGCCATTCCGTACATTCCCACAATACTGAAGAAACAACGATTTTCTCACGTTCTCCATGCGTTTCTGACCGCAGTTGGAACCTCCGGGCGTTCGCCGCTAGTCGCCGAGAGGCGGCGTTCTAGATTGCGCTACTCTGCTCCGAAGGAGCTATATAGTGCTCTAGTACCAGTGAACCACAACAGAAATTTGGTCACCATGAGCCCTATATGTACTTTTTTTGCCAAACGTCCGCTTCTTGTTACTTCATTCGGCGAAAAACCAGCAGCATCCTCACAAGAGTATCAAATATCAAAGTTGAGCCCTGCGTATTTGTATTTAGGGTATTCAGAATTCGTAGTCATTGAGTAGCTAGGTGACGCTAAACGTCGTCCATTTAAAAAAAATTTTAATTAACCCCTACGCATACACGGCTCTCATATACGGCTCTGACGGCTCTGTGGTTTATCTATCCAGCAATGCTCGCGACCGTGACGTCGGCGCTGTCTTGATTAGGGGTGTCGCGAACTTTTGTCGAACCGGATTTTTAGGTCGAACTTTCGGGGTTCGACTGGGTCGAACCGTTTCGACGAACCTTCGAAACTTTTCACCAGATTCGACCGGTTCGACTTTGCGGACAGTGTGGCCAGACCTTGATACACGCATGTCTAGGTTTAGAGAATTTATTTTTATGCAAAGAGTTATTTTATTTTATGAACAGTTGCAATTAAAAGAAACCAATTTTAGTCACTGAAGACGTTAATATCTTAATTGTTTTGTACTGTATTAACTGAAATAACCAATCAGCGGTGCCCTTAATTCATCCTTTAGCCATTACCATCCAATCCGAAGCCAACTGTTCAGCCTGTCGCGCATGCGCACACGAGTCGAACCTCAATACAAGGTTCGTCGAAATTTCCGCAACAGGTTCGAAAAAGTCGAACCTGGTCGAACTCGAACCTCGGCCGGTTCGCGACACCCCTAGTCTTGATGTGGGCTGTGGTGAGCCGTTGGTTGTGCTCTCAACGCGGCCACGCGGCGTTGGACGTTTTTTTTTTTTTAATCGCAGTTCGGCTTTTTTTTTTCTTTTTTTGTGCCTCCTTACGTTGGTTCATTCATCTTCTACCTACATGGCGGACGCGCCGCCAACGCGACGCAGGCGGCTGGTGTACATGGAGAAGGGTGGATCTCCTTCTATCCCCAAGTCAACGTTGTCTCGCATTAGAAAGGAAGGACTAAGTGGCCTCGGCAGCAGCCAGGACAGTGGCGATGCAGCCTCCGATACCTGCGATGTCGGCTCCAGCGGACATGATACTTCAGTGGGGCATATCTCTGAAAGTGACATTGCAAGTGACGAGCTGGAATCGAGTGACGTAGATGTCGAATCGACAAGCTTCCCGAGTGCAGAACCAAGCGGCGGTGATCTTCCTCGAGCTGGTGCGGCGACAGCCACAAATGCACTGTCCGCCCTCAGAGAATTGGGCAGGGAAGGCTTACCCCACTCTTGTACCACCAAGGGGGAGGCAGTTGCCATGGTGATGTCATTAATGGTTGCTGGCGGGCTAAGCTGGGCCGACCTCGACAATCTCCTAGTAGTCATAAATACCATGTTTGCACCAGCTGCAGATGTTCTGCCTCGAAGCAAGTATTTGTTCAGAAAGTTATGGACAAAACAGACTGATGCCCTGATCCAGTATCATTTCTACTGCACATGCTGCTCTGACCGCATGACTGGAACACCTGACAGTGAAGAATTGATGTGCCGAACCTGCAGTCACCGTACCAGTGCTCGGCAACTAAAGAATGAGGGTGCCTTCTTCGTGACGCTAAATATGCATGACCAGCTGCAGCATGTAATAACGAAGACCAAGACATTCCTTCAAGACGCCCTGACAAAGGTTCCCCCTCCTCCTGGTGATATCTCTGATGTCACAGAAGGTCGAGCCTGCCGGGAGATGAGAAGTTCAGGGACATTGAACAATGATTATGTCACACTAACTGTAAACACGGATGGCAGCCCAGTGTTCTCATCGTCGGGCGCTTCAGTTTGGCCTATTCAGTTTCTGGTGAATGAACTGCCTGCACCGGAGAGGTTCAAGCACTGTACACTTGCGGGGCTCTGGTTTGGGAAGGGCCATCCTAACATGGCCCTGTTTTTGGAACAGTTTGTTGATGGACTCAACTCCATGGATCCTGTGGTGTGGGAGCATGACGGGCTGAGTCATGCCTCTCGGGCGTACATCCTGTGCTGGTGCCTGGACGCCCCCGCAAGAGCAGCTGTGCAGAACTGCACTCTGTTTAACGGGTACATCGGGTGCCCGTGGTGCCTAACAAGAGGGGAGCACCTGGATGGTAAGACAAGTAGCTCGCTGTAGAAAACATTAGTAGATTATTTTTTAATCTAGACAAGTACGAAGTATGTTTAAGGCCGGTTCAGACATTTGCATTGACTGCACTGCATTAAGTTGTGTTCCATTATGCTTAGTTGCCACAGTAACCCGTCGTACAGTGCTCCCCAAACTATTCTAGCGTGCAAGCCGCCAAGTATGTAACTAAGCTTGCCTTGATCCCTCCTCCATGACAGCTACACACATACAGGCTGCGGCTGGTGCTCATTAAAATCATATTTCTTTAAAGTCATTGTTTCTTGCAATTGTCGCCAGCCTCTGTCAGTGTTCTCAGCATTCTTTCACTCAGAATGCCACCTTCATCAGCCAGTTTTCAGGCAGTAAAGAAGTCAATATAAGCCGTAGGAAAATCTTGCATATCGTTTTTTGTTTATTACGGCAACAAAAGCTAGGGGGATACTTTGCAGTTTCGCGCCGTCGGTTGCGCTTCACTTTCGGCATTCTTCCCAAGCACTCCTTGTTGCCACTTAAGGACGTTTGCATGGGTGTCTACGGGGCGGTGCTAGCATCTCAAACGATTATTCACGGGAGTGGCAGGTGACTCTAATGTAAGCAGCTATGGGGACGTCATCCAATGGTTCTTTATGTAAATGCATTGCGGATGACTCGCACACGTAAAGTATGCTCTGCATCCGAGAAGCGGAACTTAGAGCGGAAAAAGGAACGAAATCGACAACATTGCCAAAATTCCGAAGTGCGTGCAGGGAATGCCACTCATTGCGACTCAAGCGGCAATCTGATGCAGATCCGGTGTTTTGGACTCCAGAATGCGCAGCGAAGAAAGAGAGATGGCGGGCGGATCCCAAGCTTTGAACACAAAAGCCTAAATAGCCGATAAATTTTTCTTAGACTTCACCACTTCTACTTTTTGCAAAACGACGTTCGCATGGCAAATTTAAGGTAGGCACGTTAGAAACTCGACTTTTGCAAGGCCTGCCAGGTATGCTGGTTTTAGGGTCATGCCCTGTACATACCTCCTGCAACTTTGAAAGTCTCTCCATTTTGCCACCACAAACGTCTGGATTATACAATGAAAGTGGCACTGCATGATGCACCAGAGTAGACGACGTAGCCTGGGCCATTGTTTTTTTGTTTTTTTTGTGTCATGCCTGGAAGCTTGCATGTCACTGTGCTCTTCTAATGCAGAAAAAGACATTGGGGTCCGCGTCTACGAGCTTTTTGCTATGCAGAATAGCATGCAGCATGGCTCAAGAATGTATTTTTAATTTGTTCCCGACCACCCCCTGGGAGTAGCGTGCCACAGTTTGGGAAGCACTGTCGTAGTAGCGTCTCGTCGCAAGTGGTTGTAACTCAATCCGTCGTACTTCAACAAATGTCTGAACTGGCATTCACCATTCAGGTACACAGCGCAACACTGTTATCACAAACAGGTAATCACCGAGTTTTGCTGTTCAAAAATTATATTGCTGCTGTCAAAACTACCTGTGTAGTGGAGACCACTTATTTCGAGCTTGTGTGTCAGCGTACCTTGATTCGGCAAAATGTGGAAGAGCGCTAATACCGTGTTCGTGCTAACTGTGTCATGCAGTGTATATCCAGTCTAGATACATTTCATTGCAAATACCAAATTTGAGCATACTGTATTACACTAGTGCTTTGGCTTTGTGCCTGAATATGGTAGCTCATTGGTTGTCGGCTGTTGTTGTGCAAGATAAGATATTACCTTGCTGTAGCATGTTGGTGTTTCGTGCCTAATGTCATGAAGCGGTACTGGCGGCGGAACTCTTTGGGAGATGGAGATTGGGTGGCGGAATGGGTAGGCGGGAAGGGGGTTTAACCGCCTCCTTCCCTTCTTTTGTTTACTATAAAACTGAAATGTCTGGTAAAACAATCGCCGCCCCCCTCCTCCCCCCTCCCTTTTCCAATGCCTCTGTGAAGCGGACTGTGGAGTGTGTGTCCTATCGATTTCATGGTAGGACTGTTGCTAAGTCGTCTACATTTTGATGTGACAATGTCTTACATGAAGTACGAAGGGGTGCATGCACAAAAAGCTCATGCATCGGAAATGGACCTTGTTTATCGTAACGTTACGGCCGGCTCGGAATTTTGACTCTGGGTGCGCCAGTAGTAAATCGCTGTGATGGGCCATTGTCGGCTATGTACTCTCAATCAACTGCTCACATGTCATTGTTTGCCCGTGTTTCTAAAATAACATAATTGCTTTCTATGGTACTTGAAGCGCAAACGCGCAAAGAGACCATGTTTTTTCAATGGGCTATAGGCGAAACTAGAACGCCTAGGTGCATCCTGGGAGTGGGAGCATGCAGTGTTTCAGTTTTCTCGCAGTGTGCATCTATCGTCTGTTTTTATCTCGGCAACACCTTTGACGCTGTTGACGGGCACTGCTCCACGTTCACACTTATGCACTAAGCATTCTTTTTTCTCTTGCCCGTATCAGATAGTAAATAACAAAACAATTGTTTCGTTAATAATAATTCATAAATAATGAAATTTTACATTCACATGTATAATTTTGATTGAAGCAGACACCTCAATACGCCACAACGACGGAGACAAGAAAAATTAGATCGACTTACTATGAACTCTGTACTAACTCGCCGCATGCATTTGTTTGCGACCTTAAAAACGCCCACTAAGATTAGTACGTAATCATGTTTATTTTCGCTCAAAGGAAATGTACTACCACAGCATGAGCAGCTACGTAGCCAATGCTCCCATTGCAATCAAAGCATGTCTGCTTGAGGCTACTTCTGAATGTAGGCTTGCTACGAACCACACTTTATGTGAAAATCGGTATGGTCGTTGGCAAGATTTTGACTTTGTTATTTGTTATCACATTTTGTCAAAAATAGCACATTTTAATTTTGTCCCCATTGTAATCTTGCAGGAAGCATGCGGTACACCAACCTGCAAGACACGACCCCCCGGACATCTGCAGGTGTCCTTAGGGACATGAAATTGGCCCTCAGCTTGGGCGGTACCTTTCCCGTCAATGGGTACTTTGGCCCATCACCAGCTGTGAACCTCCCACATTTCAACCTTGTTTGGGGGTTCACAGTTGAATACATGCACGCCGTGCTGTTGGGGGTGGTCAGACAGATCACAGAACTGCTCCTCAGCTCCTCCAACTCTCAAGAGCGGTACTATGTCGGTAAGTTTAGAAACAAATTTGGGCTGCATTTGGGCTACAACGTTACATTAGACATTTATAGGCAAATGCCTAAACTTGTCACTTGAGCACTGCCCTCAACTCAAACTGCAGCTGTAAGTTCTTCAAGGCTCTTCTCACATCATGTAATGACATTTACGTCCAGTGTTACATAGTCCTGTCACATGGAAGAAGCGGAGGAGGCCAGCTTACTATATAAAGTATATCAGCATCAATGGCATTTTCTTCCTCGTTGGGAATGACTTCTTTCCTTTTTGTTTAATAGGAGTCCTTTGTATGTTCTTTGCTTACTTTTCAAACGTCCCAAAGTATGGGGTAGGCAGTTATGCAACAATGGTGCATGCTCAGTATGTCACGGTAGCTTAAATAAGAGACTTCGGCAGCAAACATCAGGAAAATCTCCTGTTTCATTCTTTTTAATTCAGGGTGCCAATTTCAAAACTATTTGTACAATCTTTAAATAACTTATAGCACAAGGAAGGAAAAGGGGGAGGAGGTATAATGTCAGTTCACTACACAATTCTAGAGATTTCACAACAGAACAGTGAGACACCAAGCCAGTTGGAACCAGATTATTACATCTGTCATTGTGGCTTCCAGGTACTTTACTATAGCCGGTTACAAGTCAAGAAGGTAGGAGAAGCTCCTCCCACAAGCGTGATGCGCCCGTTTCAAATCCCTCCGCATTCGAAAGAAGAGCTCACTGGAAACGCTCCTTGTTCCGCTTCAATGGATTCCCACTTGTCTCCGATGCCACTTTTTGAGAAAGGGACCTTTGTATTTATTGCAGGGGGAACCGAGCCCCTGAAAGCAGCCTTTGTATTTATCGGAGGGGGAAGCTAATTCCCGAAAGTCGTATTTGTTTCCATCGGAGGGGCACAACTCTAATCTCCCTCTCGTGGCTTTCACAATGCTATGTCAAAGTCGAAAGATAAAGCAAATATGTACAGAAAGGCAAGACCCTCCTCGCGCGTTGGCCGCGACGTCGCGGAAACGGTGGGACGCTATTGGATGCGGAGGTGGCGGAGGGATATCTGATTCCCTTTGAGGGGCATTTGCCGCTACCTTCTTAACCTGTAACCAACTATAGCTTATTAATTTGTGAAAGAGCTCTAAGAATTGTGAAGACTAATCGTCGAATTCACAGACCTCACTTCACTTGAGGCGCCCTCCACTTCCCCTCGGCTTCCTTGAGGAAATAAAGGGGCGCCTCAATCGGAGTGAGGTTTGTGAATTCGGTGGGAAGCCTCGTAAGACTTCTGCAGACTGACCGCACTGAGCAATAAGACGAATAATTGGGCTGGATTGTGTAACATAGGAAGTTAAAGCGGGAAAAGAGCATGGGCAAAACTGGGAAGCTAAACCACGCAAGGCAATTTGTGCTTTGTTTCATCTAAACTATTATCTTTTTTGCTGCGCTTTTTGCCATCCTTAGCAGGCAGTGTGAACTGATTTCACTTACATATTGGGAGGATTCCACCTTAAAGCTAGACATTTGTATAAGAAAACCAAGTGTATGTTTTATCAGAGTAATGGCACATGGAATTTGCACTCTTTTTATAAGGGATAATTTATCTAAGCCAATTGTTCCATATTAATTGATAAGTACCAAAGATTCTGCTCCAATTTTCAAAAACAGGCTGCCAAATGCTTTTATATATTTAGTAACTTTTTATTTTGCAGGAAACACTGCCTCTCTTGCTGTCATCAACAGCCGGCTGGCTGAAATCAAGCCACCACACAGCTTCACGAGACTCCCAAGGGCACTGAGCACACGGACATTCTGGAAGGCTTCCGAATGGCGCCATTGGCTCCTGTACTACTGGCTTCCCTGCATGTACGGGGTCCTTCCGGACCAATACTGGCTGCACTTAAAGAAGCTGGTGGAGGCCATCCATGCACTTTTGAGGGACACTGTAACTCCAGCATCCATTGATGTTGCTGGTGAGTACTTCCCCCTTCGGTTTCTTTGTGTCCTGCTTCGGGCCAGCCTTAAAGGATACTACAACGAAATTTCGGCACTAATGTTTTGGTGTATATGTGTTCAAAGGAGCAGTATCACGTCGGACACACCAATATCCTGTTAAAAAAGACACGAAAGGGAATTGTAAAAGAAATTAAACAATTACCAAAGAGCACCTGGTGGATGTCGCTAATGCCTTGTTTGTAATGCTCGTCTAGGAACCTTGACAGGTAGTGACGATGCCTGTCTCGCCTCCGGCCATCACAAGAGAAGAGGGGAAGGCGGAACTCCCCTCTTACCGAGAATCTCTTTTGTGTGTCTCAAAAGTTGCTATTGTCCCTCTACAAGATTATAGAAGATTAAACCGTCGCTCAAAATTCGTACAAAAGCAGCCGCTTCGGTGGCTGCAACGGCTAGGCCATTCTCTCGACGTCAGCCTCGCAATAGCTTTGCTCGTCTCGAGACCAACTACGTCACAATCGCGGGGGATGTCACTCTGCTGGCTGCTCTCCGAGCGCTTGCCAGAGTAGGTCGTTCATAACTAGAAATACAGCCACCAGGCTCAATATACAAACTTGCGATTGTCATTTACGGATATTGTGGATCATATTCAACCTATTTTTGAACCCGACGGGTATATTTCGTTGAAGTATCCCTCTAATAATGTCATGCTGTGCTTTCAGAGAAACTCCTCCGGACCTTTGTGGGCATGACTGGGAGGCTGTATGGAGCTGCAGCAATGACATTCAACCTGCACCAGTTACTCCATCTAGCGGAAGCGGTGCGGCAACTGGGGCCACTGTGGGGCCATTCTGCTTTTGAATTTGAAAGCGGTAACGGGCAGCTCGTGAAGCTGGTGAAAGGATCAAATGCTGTTCCGTGCCAGATTGTAGAAAGGGTTGTGATGTCGCAGCAGTTGGATCAAACGTTGGCGTCTTCGCTTCTAAGTGACAGTGTCAAAGTGATGTGCTGTGACATTCTGGGATACCCTAAGCTCCAAAACTTCAAATATGCAAACGATGTGTGCCTGCTGGGTTACTCTTCGAAGGCATCATTGAGCAATGAGGAACAGAGTTGTCTTCCCGCTGGGTCTGGGGCCTCCTTTGATCAGGCTGCAGAGTACAAACGCTTCGCATGGAAAGGGCAGATTTTTCACAGCCGAAACTATGCCAGGAGTAAAAAGACAGACTCCTCTGTCTTTCAAACAAAGGATATGTGCTATTTCGCCATTTTGAGGGTTTTGTCTTTGAAAGGTGAGGTAACGCTTCTGTGCAGGGAAGTTATCATCACTTGTGCAGGTCCCTTCCCACAGCACATCAAGCCTTGTTTTCTTTCTCATGTGAACTTGCAGGCTGTTAAACCACAGCAGCTGAAGGCACCATGCCTTTTTCTCACTTTCAGGCAGCCCTCAGTAAGCTATGTCTGTGATCTGCCAAACCTTCTTGAGCGCGATTGATGCAATGTACCGGGGGTGCCGAAGTAAAGTAACTATTCCCTAGGAGTTGAAATATCCAAAACTACATCCTGTTATAATTTATCCCTGTTTTTTGGTCGTTTCAACAAGGGAAATCTATAGAGATTGGATCTTTCACATCTTCAGACTTCTTGTTTTGCTCCTAATGTGTTGCTGCAAGTAACTCTACGTTCATAAGTGGTTTTCTTTGTTTACATTGTGTTATACTTTGTGTGCTTCATTTGCTCTTCTGAGTCTAGTCGGGCTAATTTGATTATCGACCTGTGGAAGATGGCCATTGTTTGAGTAATAATCTCAATGTCTCAGCCTGCTAATGTGTCTTTCCCTAACCTTTTTGACAGAAACGTGTGAAGCTTGTATGGGTAGCAGTAGGGTAGGCTTGTTTTAACTGCAAGCAGGCATATAAGAAAATAACTTTTTTGTTATTATGTAACTTGAAAAATCTGAGATGGACTTAGACCTTTCGTTATTCTGTCCACATTGCATCATAATTGAATAGCTTCAACAACCTTCTGTATCTGTGGACCGCAAAGTGGGCTTTTGTTGGTATCATTTCACATCATGATTTGATTGATTTTGTTTTCATACTTCTGTGTTAATTTTGTCTAGTTAATTGTTTTAGTAACTATAGGTTATGTATGAGGGTTATAAGTTCCTGGCTCTCTTCATTACTGTACTGTTATTTAATGATTTGTCTTTCATTTAATGATTTGTCTTGTAACACCTACAAGTACTTGTAAAACTCTTGTTCTAGCACAAATAAAACTGATCAGCAAGGTAGTTACTGATGTCTGTCTACTGTGTTTTCCAACATAAATATTGTATTGAGTGTGCACGTTGAAACATATAGCAATCTATTTCTTGGGGGGGAGTTGTCCTTTGAGGTTATTGCTTGAATTAAGCATTTGTGCAAGTTGTTTTAAATTCATGTATAGTGTCTCATGGCCTTTCAGTGTCTTGGGGGTTCTAGTGATAAATTTTATTTCCGAGATCAATCATAATATACTAATAAATGTAGAGCAAATACAGAGGATGCTAACTGCTTTTAATGGATTGCAATAAGGTAGAAATGTTTGGTGACTTCATTATAAAAAAACAATTACTTTTTCATTTAAATGCTTCTAGAAATGCCTCCTGCACTTGTTGGGCCAGCTGCATTCTTCAAGTTTGCATGAATCAGCCTAAAAAGTGCTTTTAGCTCTGCTTAACAAGGCATAGTAGCAGTAGGTGATACCACGGAAAAACCTAAGTTGACGTTTAGCTAAGACTGCTCTACCTTAATTTAACTATCCACTGGGCTGAGCATTTTCAGTTCTAGGTCTACTGTAAGCTTTGGTTGGCAGGAATTTCATTTGTTTTTCTATGTTAATTGAATTTTCCAGGGACTGGTATATATATATAAAGTGGGAAGAAAAAAAAACCCTTGGTGAAAACAGCAACAACGGATGATTTATTCTTCGACGTTTCGGCCGGAGTCCAGCCTTCGTCAGGAAGCTGACGAAGGCTGGACTTTCGCCGAAACATTGAAGAATAAATTGTCCGTTGTTGCTGTTTTCCCCAAGGGTTTGTTTCTTCCCAGTTATATGCCCACGCCTTCGGCCTCCTGCCACCATGTCCGTTGTGTGTGTGCATATATATATATATATATGCTTTATAGTCTAGGCAACTCCGCCTCCAAATCTAATACCTAGAACTTAAATTCCCTTAGCTATTTGCATTTTGGTGGGCCAGTATATTCAGTGTACTGCTCAGGAGCTATATATATAGCTCTCCATCTAGCTGCTCCCAGCAACAGCACCAGGCATTTGCTTCAAGGGGGAAGGGAAGGGGGGGGGGGGGAGAGGAGTTGAATCTTCCCCCCTATGTCTCTCGCAATGACTGCAAGAGATTGATAAGAACAGCCCAACGACCAAAAAAATACGAACGACATGCATATCCGAGGTATTTTATTTAGCGAAATATTTCTGCATGCTTGAGGGTTTTCCGGCAGATTTATGCTAAGTGGGTCTTTATGATACATTCGGGTTTCTAGGAACCACATTTTGTTTTCAATATTCGTTTCAATTTGCATAAACTAACTTTATCACATGGCATAACTGGATTTTAATTTTCAGGTAATGGTTCACTAACTCCATTCTGGAACTGAAAACTTCCAGAGCAGAATCCAGATGCTCCATTCTGGAACTGACATTTCCAGAACCGAATCCAAATTCTCCAATCTGGAACTGACGTTTCCAGAACCGCATCCAGATTCTCCAATATGGAACTGACGTTTCCAGAACCGAATCCAGATTCTCCAATCTGGAACTGACGTTTCCAGAACCGAATCCAGATGCTCCAATCTGGAACTGACGTTTCCAGAAGCGAATCCAGATTCCCCATTCTGGATTTCGGGTTTCCAGTTAGTTTCCAGATAAAAATCAAACTGGGTTTTTAGGTAGGGACAGCAGTGGCGGCAGCGCGCACAACGTTCGTACAGCCAGAGGACTAATTGCACCTACTATCGTTGCAGCCGGAAAAGAGACCTCGTCAGACAAGATTCAAGAACCGCCGTCTACCCATCTTGTGCTGCGGCCGTCACCAACCCAAGTGCGAGCATTGCCGGGCCGCAGTTGGCCCAGGTTCGCAACGCAAGACTACGTCATCAACGGCTGCAGTGAAAGGGATCTGCTCCTCGCTTGAGCAACACACAGTAATGGCGGCAGCGCGCACAACGTTCGTACAGCCAGAGGACTAATTGCACCTACTATCGTTGCAGCCGGAAAAGAGGCCTCGTCACACAAGATTCAAGAACCGCCGTCTACCCATCTTGTGCTGCGGCCGTCACCAACCAAAGTGCGAGCATTGCCGGGCCGCAGTTGGCCCAGGTTCGCAACGCAAGACTATACACCATCAACGGCTGCAGTGAAAAGGATCTGCTCCTTGCTTGAGCAACACACAGCAGTGGCGGCAGCGCGCACAACGTTCGTACAGCCAGAGGACTAATTGCACCTACTATCGTTGCAGCCGGAAAAGAGGCCTCGTCAGACAAGATTCAAGAACCGCCGTCTACCCATCTTGTGCTGCGGCCGTCACCAACCCAAGTGCGAGCATTGCCGGGCCGCAGTTGGCCCAGGTTCGCAACGCAAGACTATACACCATCAACGGCTGCAGTGAAAAGGATCTGCTCCTTGCTTGAGCAACACACAGCAGTGGCGGCAGCGCGCACAACGTTCGTACAGCCAGAGGACTAATTGCACCTACTATCGTTGCAGCCGGAAAAGAGGCCTCGTCAGACAAGATTCAAGAACCGCCGTCTACCCATCTTGTGCTGCGGCCGTCACCAACCCAAGTGCGAGCATTGCCGGGCTGCAGTTGGCCCAGGTTCGCAACGCAAGACTATACACCATCAACGGCTGCAGTGAAAAGGATCTGCTCCTTGCTTGAGCAACACACAGCAGTGGCGGCAGCGCGCACAACGTTCGTACAGCCAGAGGACTAATTGCACCTACTATCGTTGCAGCCGGAAAAGAGGCCTCGTCAGACAAGATTCAAGAACCGCCGTCTACCCATCTTGTGCTGCGGCCGTCACCAACCCAAGAGCGAGCATTGCCGGGCCGCAGTTGGCCCAGGTTCGCAACGCAAGACTATACACCATCAACGGCTGCAGTGAAAAGGATCTGCTCCTTTGCTTGAGCAACACACAGCAGTGGCGGCAGCGCGCACAACGTTCGTACAGCCAGAGGACTAATTGCACCTACTATCGTTGCAGCCGGAAAAGAGGCCTCGTCAGACAAGATTCAAGAACCGCCGTCTACCCATCTTGTGCTGCGGCCGTCACCAACCCAAGTGCGAGCATTGCCGGGCCGCAGTTGGCCCAGGTTCGCAACGCAAGACTATACACCATCAACGGCTGCAGTGAAAAGGATCTGCTCCTTGCTTGAGCAACACACAGCAGTGGCGGCAGCGCGCACAACGTTCGTACAGCCAGAGGACTAATTGCACCTACTATCGTTGCAGCCGGAAAAGAGGCCTCGTCAGACAAGATTCAAGAACCGCCGTCTACCCATCTTGTGCTGCGGCCGTCACCAACCCAAGTGCGAGCATTGCCGGGCCGCAGTTGGCCCAGGTTCGCAACGCAAGACTATACACCATCAACGGCTGCAGTGAAAAGGATCTGCTCCTTGCTTGAGCAACACACAGCAGTGGCGGCAGCGCGCACAACGTTCGTACAGCCAGAGAACTAATTGCACCTACTATCGTTGCAGCCGGAAAAGAGGCCTCGTCAGACAAGATTCAAGAACCGCCGTCTACCCATCTTGTGCTGCGGCCGTCACCAACCCAAGAGCGAGCATTGCCGGGCCGCAGTTGGCCCAGGTTCGCAACGCAAGACTATACACCATCAACGGCTGCAGTGAAAAGGATCTGCTCCTTGCTTGAGCAACACACAGCAGTGGCGGCAGCGCGCACAACGTTCGTACAGCCGGAGGACTAATTGCACCTACTATCGTTGCAGCCGGAAAAGAGGCCTCGTCAGACAAGATTAAGAACCGCCGTCTACCCATCTTGTGCTGCGGCCGTCACCAACCCAAGAGCGAGCATTGCCGGGCCGCAGTTGGCCCAGGTTCGCAACGCAAGACTATACACCATCAACGGCTGCAGTGAAAAGGATCTGCTCCTTGCTTGAGCAACACACAGCAGTGGCGGCAGCGCGCACAACGTTCGTACAGCCAGAGGACTAATTGCACCTACTATCGTTGCAGCCGGAAAAGAGGCCTCGTCAGACAAGATTCAAGAACCGCCGTCTACCCATCTTGTGCTGCGGCCGTCACCAACCCAAGTGCGAGCATTGCCGGGCCGCAGTTGGCCCAGGTTCGCAACGCAAGACTATACACCATCAACGGCTGCAGTGAAAAGGATCTGCTCCTTGCTTGAGCAACACACAGCAGTGGCGGCAGCGCGCACTACGTTCGTACAGCCAGAGGACTAATTGCACCTACTATCGTTGCAGCCGGAAAAGAGGCCTCGTCAGACAAGATTCAAGAACCGCCGTCTACCCATCTTGTGCTGCGGCCGTCACCAACCCAAGTGCGAGCATTGCCGGGCCGCAGTTGGCCCAGGTTCGCAACGCAAGACTATACACCATCAACGGCTGCAGTGAAAAGGATCTGCTCCTTGCTTGAGCAACACACAGCAGTGGCGGCAGCGCGCACAACGATCGTACAGCCAGAGGACTAATTGCACCTACTATCGTTGCAGCCGGAAAAGAGGCCTCGTCAGACAAGATTCAAGAACCGCCGTCTACCCATCTTGTGCTGCGGCCGTCACCAACCCAAGTGCGAGCATTGCCGGGCCGCAGTTGGCCCAGGTTCGCAACGCAAGACTATACACCATCAACGGCTGCAGTGAAAAGGATCTGCTCCTTGCTTGAGCAACACACAGCAGTGGCGGCAGCGCGCACAACGTTCGTACAGCCAGAGAACTAATTGCACCTACTATCGTTGCAGCCGGAAAAGAGGCCTCGTCAGAGAAGATTCAAGAACCGCCGTCTACCCATCTTGTGCTGCGGCCGTCACCAACCCAAGAGCGAGCATTGCCGGGCCGCAGTTGGCCCAGGTTCGCAACGCAAGACTATACACCATCAACGGCTGCAGTGAAAAGGATCTGCTCCTTGCTTGAGCAACACACAGCAGTGGCGGCAGCGCGCACAACGTTCGTACAGCCAGAGGACTAATTGCACCTACTATCGTTGCAGCCGGAAAAGAGGCCTCGTCAGACAATATTCAAGAACCGCCGTCTACCC